GTGCAGAAACTCAGGTGGAAGGTGTGTGTATATGTCTGTGTGGGGGGGGGGGGAGGGGAGGATTTGAAAATTCTGAAAAGCTTATGGTGTGAAACAAGCATGAGAGCCTCTGGATACTTCTGCCCTTTGTCTCAAGTTCCTGCTGCAAACTGGAGACAGCAGAAGGAGCACTGATGGGAGTCTGATGACTTGGTCTCTGCCTGTAACTCACTGTGTGACCTTGGGCAAGTGTCATACCCTCCCTGGTCCTCTCTCTCCCTGTCAGCACCATGAGGGTGTTGAGCTAAATGATTCCTAAGAGTCCTTCCACTCTGACACTCTGAGATCCTTCTTTGGTCCTAGGGCTTATGTTACTATTATTCCTTGCACAACTCAATGTGGTCTATGTGAGCTTGTCAGACCTGCAGAATCTCAGGTCCTGCTCCAGACCCACAGAATCAGAACCTGCAATTTCCATAAGGCCCCTCGGTAATGCTTCTGCACATTCAAGTGTGAGGAGCATTGCAGTAACCACATTCCCGCCTTCTCTTTGGGCTGTGCTGAGCTCTGAATAAAGATGTCTGTGCCTCCTCCGGTCAGCAGAGAGAGGCCTTTTCACATGGGAGTCAGGGAGCCTGGCATGCAACAGGTACCCAGCAAAGGGTTTTTTGAATGTGTGCAGGCATGCGTGGGGTAAATATCTGTGGAATGAAGAAGGGAGTAGAACTGACTTTACTCAGCACCTTTTACGAGTGGTGGAGCGTGGAGCCAGCCCAGGTTCCAGTCCTAGATCTACAGTGTCCTAACTCTGGGACCTGAGGCAAGCCATTTCTATGAGCCTCAGCCCCCTCCCCTGGGAAATGGGAATAAATAATAATAATAATAATAATAATAATAATAATAATAATAATAATAGGACTGACTTCACAGGGTGGTGGTCAGACTTAAATGAGTTGATACAAGAAAAGCGTTTAAAATAGTGCCTGCCACATAGTAAGTGCTTCATAATGTTGGCCATTACTTTACAATTCCTACTATTCCAGCCACTGACCACATAGCACCCCAGGACTGTCCCAACAACTCCTGCCCCTGGATTGTATTGAGTTTCTTGAGGACAAAGTCCCAAAATGACCCCTAGGGGGCGCTGTCACCCCTGTTGAGAATCACTGGTTCTAGAGCAGCGCTATCCAAGGGAAATATAATACAAGCCACAAATATAATTTTAGATTAAAAAAATTTAGAGATAGCCAAGTTAAACAATGAAAAAAGTGAAATTAATTTCAATTATGTATTTTATTTACTCAAATACCCAAAATAGTATCATGTAACTGATATAAAAATGATTAATTAGATATTTTACATTCTTTTTTTGAGCTACACCTTTTGAAACCCAGTGGTTTTTACGCTTACAGCACATCTCAGTGGCCACATTGCAAGCCTTCGATGGCCCCAGGAGGCCAGGAGTGGCTATCCTAAGGTTTCTCAGCACTGGCTCTTATTCCCAACTGTGACACATATTACCTGTGTGGCCTTGGGCTAGTCATTTTACCTCTTTGGACCTCAGTTTCTTCATCTGTAAAATGGGGATACTAACTCTGCCCCAAAGGGTAGTATTAGGGGCAGATAGTGAGGGTTTATAGCCTCTGTGCCCACATTCCCACAAGCACGGCCTCATTCTGTTGGTCATGGCTAGTCCATGCTGAACCCAGAACCGAGGGCCAAGGAAATACAGAACTCCTTTTGGTAGGTGAAGGGGGGAAGGCAGCATGGGGTGGCAGAAGCACTGAGCTGAGCTGGAAGGGGTTCCAAACTTTACTATATGGTCTTGGGCAAGTCACCCACCTCTCTGGGCACCAGTAATCTCAGCTGATTAGATTGGGTGACATTTTTTTTTTAATTGTGGAAGGGAACAGTGTGTTTTTCCAGGACCCATCAGCTCCAAGTCAAGTAGTTGTTTCAATCTGGTTATGGAGGGTACAACTCAGTGGTCCATGTGGGGATCAAACCAGCAACCTCGGTGTTATGAGCACTGCGCTCTAACCAACTGAGCTAACCAGCTGCCCCTGAATGACATCATTTTAAAAGTTCCTTCTAAATCATGTTTGCCAGGGAAGGACTGTTAATTATAACTAACTAGAATTTATGGCACATCTACTGTATGGCTGATGCTGTCTATTCAGCTCCCTCAACATAACAGCAGTTTGAGGTTGGTACTGTTGCTGTCCCCGTTTTCCACGTGAAGAAACTGAGCTCAAATTAGTTAAAATGAAAAGCCTAGGATCCCCCTTTCACCAGCAGAACCGGTCCCTAAGGTTCTTAGACACTTAGGCACTTAACTATTAATTTTTTGGGTAAACTTTTTTAAAAAACAAAAGTGCCCATAACACAAGTGTACAGTCTGATGCATTTTCACAAAGTGAACACACCCAACTCAAGAAACAGGACACGACTTGCACCCATGAGCCCCCATCATGCTTCCACCCAGTCACTGCATCCCCTCCCCTCAAGGGCAACACACTTTGTGAAGGTTGAATCACATGTTGTGCCTTAATGTTGAGCAGCTTCTTCTGCTCAACTTTATGTCTGTGAGCTCATCCCCGTGCTTGTGTGTAGTGGGGAGCTGGGGTCCGTTCTCATTGATGTATCCTATTCTCCTGTATGAATATGCCATGATTTATGCATCCATTCTCCTGAAGATGTCTGTTTGGGTAGTTTTCAGTTTGGGGTTGTTGAATAGTGCTGTTACGACTTCTTGCACAAGTCTTGTGGTGAACATACATATATGTTTTTGTTGGTTCTGTAGCTGGGAGTGGACGTTTTGGGTCAGAGGTGTGGCTACTTTTTATTTTCTACATTTTCCAGATTTTATAATTAGAGAAACTAAGGTGAAAGATGGACTCACTCAAGATACTGATTAGATATCAAAACTTGCACTCAGAGGAGCGGCCGGTTAAACCAGTTGGTTAGAGCGCAGTGCTCATTACACCAAGGTTACCAGTTCAATCCCCACATGGGCCACTGAGCTGCGCCCTCCACAACTAGATTGAAACAACTACTTGACTTGGCGCTGATGGGTCCTGGAAAAATACACTGTTCCCCAATAAAAACAAACAAAACAAAAGAAAAAAACTTGCCCTCAGATATAGACAGACAGATGGACAGATAGACTCATACACAGCTCGACATGTTAAAACTTTTCAGAGTTTTCTCCACATATATTATTATTATTATTATTAAAGATTTTATTGGGAAATTGGGGGAGGGAACAGTGTTGGGGAATCGGGGAAGGGGAACAGACAAGTTGCTGTCTTTTTGTTCTTCAGTCTAGTTGTGGAGGACGTCGCTTCACTGGCCCATGTTGGTACTATCATTACGCTCTTCCTGGGTGAGGCAGTCGCTTGCCGGCCATTGGTCGGCCGCTCACAGCGGCTCACAGCGGCTCACGAAAACGCATGCCAGCTGCTGGCCAGCCCCACTGCAGCCNTCCCAAGCCAGTTCTTAACCATCGAGCCACTCGGCTGGCCCTGAACCACAGTGTTTTTGCAGGAGGAGGTCTCAGCCAAGCCGGAGGTGGACTCTCTTGCTGAGTGCAGGTGAGCAGGAGGATGGGAGGAAAGGGCTGGACTGTGCAACCTCTAGATAGGTAAGCAATAGGGGACAAAGAATAAGGATTTGGAGTGCATGGAGGGAAGAGTTCTCCAAGCTTCAGGCCCCGTGGAGTAGGTGCCATTGGCCCCACCCAACTCCGCTTCACTTGCTGATTCTATTTGTCCTCTAGTGCTCATCTTCAAAGCCACATTCAGAGGGGATTCTCAGGGTGGCAGCAGGTTACCTGTTCCTCTTACTTTCCTAAGGCTCCCTTCATACTCCTGTGTCATCCTCAGTCACATCTGTGGTCCCAGGTTCCGGAAGGGTTCCCCCAGGACCACCCTAAACCTTCCACATCTGTGTTGCTCATGCCGACGTGTGGTAGGCTTTAAGTAAATAGCTATGGAGTGGATGAGGAAATAGGCTCAGAGAGGCTGAGAAACTTGCCCAAGGTCACAGAACTAGTAAATGGCAGAACTGGGAAGCGAATTCAGTCTAGCTGACTCCAAAGCTTGTGCTCCTAATCCCGGCTGTATTGTGCCTTTCAGCAGGGAAAGCAGATGGTACATAGTGGGTGTGGACTCTGTAAACACTAACAAATTTGGTGCTTAATTTCTAGGAAATGAATTCTTGTTCCTACCTTGTTTATTCAGTCTGGAGAAGACAGCCTGTCCTCTGTCCTGGAAATGGTTTCACTCATCAGCTCAAGTGCTCTCTGGGGACCCAGATGTGCAACATCTGGTGGGGAGGGGCAGGTGGAGCTCCAGGGCCCAGGGATGCAGCCCTAAGTGCTTCTTGCAGAGGTGGTCTGCCCTGCTCGTGTGCTCCTTGGATTATGTCCCTAGTGCAGAAACTCAGGTGGAAGGTGTGTGTATATGTCTGTGTGTGGGGGGGGGGGGGGGGGGGGATTTGAAAATTCTGAAAAGCTTATGGTGTGAAACAAGCATGAGAGCCTCTGGATACTTCTGCCCTTTGTCTCAAGTTCCTGCTGCAAACTGGA